GGGTTGATTCATGAAACATCCTTGTATCAATAGCCGCAGCTGAGAGAGAAGTATTCAGGATTACATACCAAACTCCAGGCCATGGTTGTTTGAAGGTTGGATAATGCTATTTATTAAAATCTGGATCATTGGATAATGCAATTCAAGACTTTTTATTGGCTTAGCCACTATGATATATGAGCCAATATACCATAATCTACAAATATGTTAAGTGTGCATGTCAGCTTAAAGGGAGCTAAAAAATTTAAGATTTGGTAAGATTTGTCTAATATCTTGGGGGTGTTTTTAATAAAACAATCATTCCACTCGCACTTGTTGGATATGAGATGATTATAGCCAACTCATTGGCTATCTATCATCTCATATCCAATGCGCACTTGTGGAATAATCGTTAACTAGTGGATAAATCTTTATCTGTTGGATAGCATTATCCACCTCATTATACAACTGGGCCCATCTCAGTACAGTAAACCCCCTATCCTAATTAGCAAAATACACGGCAGAGTTGGAGGTAACCCAGTGAATAGGTCACTTGGCATTCAAAACCAGAGTGTGCTCAATACTAATGGTAGCCCACTAGCCACAGATTAGTAGAAATTCAGTTCTGGCTGGTGGTTTTCTATTTCCACTAGCCAGTTTGGCTAGTAGACAAACTGAATTGTCATGACACCTAAGATGTCACCAGCCACTTGGCTCATAATTTGAAAAGTTAGTGCTGAGTTCTGATAATTATAGTTAAACAATAGACTGTGCTTTCTATTAATTTATTAGCATAATAACCCACTTGGGATGTTGAACGTGAAAGGTTTGTTAACCACTTACCTCCCAATTGTGATTAACAAACTTTCCTCATGCTCTCCCAACATTTCAAATTGATTATTCGGCCGTGAAACCAATAGAAATTATGGTCTACTACTTTTGAAAAATAAACTTAAAACAAAACCCAGTATGTTACAGTTTTCTAAGGTTTTCTGGTGCAACAAATGACAGGCTTTTTTTACTAACCTGGTTGCGCATACTATTATCAGTTTTTTTATACCTTTGTACAACTTTGTATAATTTTGTACAACAGACATGAAGGTGTAGTGTTGTGTGGTCAAGAGTACCTGGCACCATGAAGAAAAAAATTAAAAAAAAAAAAAAAAGAACCACTCACCCAGAAGGTTGTTTGCTGCTGTAATGGCGTGGATGTCACCAGTTAAGTGAAGATTAAACTGACGAGGAGAGAATTGTAAATATCACAGTAAGGGTTAAGATTATTTCTAAGGATGAAGCATGCTCGAAATAAAGTGTAAAAGAACAGTCTGACCAATTTATCATTTTTAAAAGCAGTATAGTGTACTGATGATCTGCCAAAAAGACATTAGTGGAATGGTACATACCTCTTCCATGGGTATGACCTGTGAATAACCCCCTCCAGCCGCTCCCCCTAAGATTGAAAAAAATAATTTATATTGATAACATTTTTTTTTTAATCATCAATCAAAATAGTATGACTGGTCATTGTTTAGCTGGTTAACTTTGTTGTTTGTTTAGTTCAGGCCCCAGTTGTTCAAAGTTAGAATAATGCTATCCAGTGGTAGATCTAGGGGATTATTTTGGAGAAAAAAAAATCACAGAAAGAAGAAAAGCCAGCAGGTGTACAAACACAAGGTCTGGATCCACCATTGCTATCCACTAGATAAATCTCTCTCTCTCTGCTGGATAGTGCAGTACTAGATATAGTGATTTTTATTAAAAACTGGATCATTGGATAATGCAATTCAAGACTTTTTATTGGCTTAGCCATTATGGTATATGAGCCAATATTATACCGTAATCTACAAACATGGTAAGCATATGCATCAGCTTAAAATTCAATGGGAGCAAAAAATTCAACGTTTTTGATAAAACAATTATTCCACTGTCTCGTGCTTGTTGAATAGGAGATGAATATAGCCAACTCGGTGCTATGCGCCTCATTGGCTATCCCTCATCTCATATCCAACACGCGCTCGAGGAATAATTGTTAAATACATTGGATAGAGTTATCTGCCTTTTACTCAACTAAAATAAATGAAATAAAGAAGCTTAATTACTTCTAAAATCGAATTATATTTATTACCTTTGATCCCAAAAGTAGGGCCTTGGGAAGGCTGACGAATACAGGCAAAACAGTTTTTCTTGAGATGTGCACCCATTGCTTGTGCCACGCCTATTGTTGTTGTACTCTTTCCCTCTCCAAATGGGGTGGGGGTCATGCTATATCAATAAAATTTTCAAAGAACCTTAAGTCTCTCTACCCTCTACACACTAATACCAATATGTAAATTCTCTGTACTTTTTTTTTGTTACCACAATTGGCTGTAATATGTTGCAATCTAATTGGCCAGTTTACTGTTGTCGATGAGAATACTGACAATGCAGCTTGTGCCGACATGTCACAAACATGGATGACTTGGAATTTCATCTTGAGATGGTTAGTGATAAAAAAATGAATTGACAGTGGTTACGCATAGTCTGTTCTCTTGTCAAAAATGATATTTGTTGTGGACTCACATGCCTGTGCTGTGTGAGACTGTAGCAAAGTCAATAAGAGTACAGACCACTTCAAACCACTGTCATTTGTTAACTTTATGCATTCCTACATTGTTAACAAGGAGAATTTTGTTGAAAATCAAGGGCTTTTTAGTTGTTGATCATTTCTTTTATTCTTGTGACCTTAACGATTGATTCAAGGGTGATACTGTCAGGAGAAATTAGATGTAAAGACAGCAGAGTGACAATTCTCAAAAAAGAAACAACAACTTTGAGTTTAAGTTTACAAGACATGTTTCGACATTCTCATGTCATCTTCAGTTGCAAATGAGCATTTAACGGTTATACACATGGTTGTACATTTGAATTTATATTAAGGTATGTTACAAATTACGTGTCAGGGCTTATGTTACATTTGAATGTTAAAAACACAAAAAATGTAAATAGCCCGTGCTTGACTAGATCAAAAAATAAATAAATAAATAAAATAATAATAAAATAAAAGACCAAGGAACAACATAATTAACAGGAAAGACACAATTCTAGATGTTTCAACTGCTGATTCGATGCTAGTCACTCTTAGGCATCACAAAGTTAAGTAGCAGAGAACTTAAACTAATTAATTCTGAAACAAATTCAGTAACTGTATTCAATTTACTCATATTCAACTCACAGTTTTATTCTAATAACAACTAACATTTTCCTAACTTTCAAGATTTTTACTGATTAATTAAGAACAATTCACAAGTTTAACACCTCAACTCACCCAGCAACAACAACATATTTTCCATTGAGCTGATCTTTAAGTCTTTCCAAGACATCAAGGGAAACTTTGGCTTTCTTGTTTCCATAGAGCTCAATCTACAAAAAACAAAACAAAACAAAAAATTTAAGTGTGCGAAGTGACTGTGTCCAACATCACAATCACAAAATTAATAGCTTCCATGTTGCCATGTGCCTGTTTAGTGATACATCACACGTGACATCAAAATGTGGAACAAACAAAACAGTGCCTCACCAAAGGCAAGCAAGTGTGTCACTTATGAACACAGAGTTGCAAGGCAAACTGAGTTTTTCTCAATAAAAAAGGTAGATGTCTGGAGGCTTTTAGGAGCAACACTTCATACAAATGTTACTGAAGTGTTCCTTCCCTGGTGGGGGAGAGTGGGTATATAATGCAGGTAGCTGGTTGCAGGTACAACTATTACCTCATGATCAAGAATGGTAGTTTCCTTTGCCAGTTCAAAAATCTTCTTTGGCGCTTGGTGCTTTGAGATGTCAATATCGCTAGAAAGGGAAACAACAAAACTTTGTTTATTCAAAATGTCACATACATGTTACCAAATGCTACACACTTTGTCAAAAAAACTTATCAAACGACTTCCCCAATTACCGCACATTTAGAGTGAATCATAAAAATAGTGTATATATCGTCAGCCAATATGAACTCAAACTAAAAACAAGTGAAATGTATGAAGCATAAGAAAATGAAAGAAGACAAGCCATGATTAATTCTAGTTTTGGGTCTGAAAGTTAAGAGGGTGGCCAAAATTTTCTTGAACAATTCACAAAGTTGAATAAAGTAATCTGGGATTATTGTCTGTGTTCAAATTGAAAATTGATCTGCAGTTTAAAAAAAAGGTAAACATGCATGGAGTTCAGAGTGATAAAGTAACATACCTTGGAACAGGTCTTTGAAGATTCAGCGGAAGATAGCGAATGTCCCAAGGTCCACCCTGTAAAATGAACTGATCAGCAAGCTACAAAGGTATCATATTATTTTATGAAAAATACTATTTCAGCTTCCATCTTGATTATGTTATATGAACATAAACAACTAAATAGACAACTAACAAAGAAAAACCTTTGGTAAAAAGGACCTGTGAAGGATATTCCAGACACACCAAAATATTTCCTATAAATTTCAAACGGAGAATTGGGCTGAATTTACTCAACTATTTATTGATTATTATTCAATATTTATTGAATTTACTCATAAGTCAAGGAGTTGTGACCAGGAGAGTGCAAGACAACAATTCAAAGAAAAATAAATCAATGTAACACTTAGAAGAACAATCTATGAAGCATTCCCTTAAATTCACTGAACCTTCAATTGTACATCTCAACATTTGGTGACACATTAAGGTTAAAATTAAATGGGTAATTACCATTAACCCATTCACTCCCAAAATCTCATTTTATTAGTATAATTCTCCTTACCGTCTGCCATAAAATTCTTGTGCTGTTACTTTAGAGATTTGGAATTGGATCAACTAATAATCCCATATTTGATATTTTACTTTAAAATATAGATACTGATGAAATACCAGGATTTCTCCTATTACTAAAAAATCATATCTTCACCACGCGCAGTGAAGATACTATTTTTATCTTTCATGTGTGAGGATATTGGTGTGGCCATGGTTATCAACATAATTACCCAATTGCTGTTTCGAAAATGAATAAAAAAAGNCTTTGGATCGTTCGAGTAAAAAAAAAAAATACAGCCTGGATGCTGTTTTCTTTATGATTTCGGAGATATGGATGTTCCATTTGAGATCATTGCTTGGTCAAGTCTTATTAGTTTGGCATGGTTGACTATCTCAAGTTGCGTATTATTTACATTGATTGGATTGAATTTGTCTGATTTAGAAAAATCTATCCTGAGTTCTTTACATTTGGTTTCATTTAGTTGGAACTTATCTGCCTTGGTTTTATTGCAAGTTCATCGATAGCTACTTGGATCATACTTGGTTGGTTCTTTGTCACACTCTCTGAGATTGTAATAGCGTCTGCGTATTTTCAGACTTGCACGCCGGGAACGCTGATATTATTTATCACTATCTGGACCAACCAAGGGCCTAGTTTGGTCCCTTGTGGGACCCCGGCAGGGATGGATCGCCATTCGGAATAGCAGAAAAAAAACAGCTTGACTCTCTGTTTCCGACCTCGAAGGAAGTCGGCAATCCAATGTATGAAAAAAAAAGGCAAATCAAACGTACGCAGCTTACTCACCAGAATTGAATGATCGATTAGATCAAATGCTTTTCTAAAATCGAAAAAAACAATTCTAATTGCTGCGCCGTTGCCGTCTGTATCATTGGCCCAACGATGGATCATGTCGATGAGGGCGTTTACAGTTGACGAATTCGGAATGGTGCAAAAAAAATGGTTGTCGATTTTTGCTTAAACGGCTGGTTCTGCAAACCTCTCCGCTACGAAATCTTCTGCCAACTTAGACAGGAGGGGTCAGCAAGATGGGTCGCAGATGCTTGTTTATAGGAAAAAAAATCGGCTTTTGCTTTGGAACAGGAATGACATCAGCCTCCTTCCACGCCA